AGTTCAAAGGGTGGTCACCTCTTTCTCATTTCTTATGGATTATGTTACGTGGAAATATGGTATAATAAACACAATTATATATCGGTAGTTTCTAAGTTACAACAGTCTAAATAAATTAGTAACTACTGAAGTCTAATCTCGTCTAGTCTCGCCCAGTCATGTTTATCGGAATGACAATAATCCAAATGTGCAGGTAAGAAATCGAATTCCAAAAAACAAAAAAAATGAAAATGAAGACAAACAAACGAGAAAGAAAGGCACAACTGAGACAAGCTAGTTTTTCTAATTTTAAAAGTAGCGCTGAAATATTTTTGACATCTTATGATGGTATCTAATTGGTATTCGAAGTAATGTTTTACTATCTGCAGAAACTACGAGTAATTAAGTCATTAACTAAAAATACCTAGTCTTTTACTGTCGTTAACTGGTCTTGTATATTATGTTATTGATATGTACCTATTTTTAACCCCCGACGCAAAAAGAGGGGTGTTATGAGTTTGACGTCGATGTCTGGCTGTGTGTGTGTGTCTGTCTGTGGCATCGTAGCTCCCAAATGGATGTACCGTTTTCGATGCGTTTTTTTTCATTTAAAAACCAGTTTTCTTGCGGTGATTCTTAGCTATGTTTGGTTAATATCGGTCCAGCAGTGTAAGAGTATCAGCTCTTTTCCAAAATAATGGAAGGCATTTTGGCATATGATTACTCGATTAAGTGCTTCATGCGTGCCAGTGTAATCGTTAAATGACAATTAATTTGCGTAGGGGGTTTTTTAAATTTTTAATTTATAATTATTAGTACTGAGTTCTAATAAAAAAATGAATATGGAACGTCCCTTTACTAACATGTGCGACAATTTAAATATTTATAAAATTTACAATCGCTCCAAGTGCGTGCAACTCGCGTGAGTTCCATATAATTATGCAAATATACATTCCCCTAAAATGATGACATTTGATGTTATATTTGGTGTGGGGCACGTAATATAAGAGCAGTTGCATAAATTTTGGCAATTCGACACGGATCGCAGGGAGAGGCTTCGAGAGGATTGCGAGGCCCCGCGGCAAGTGCGCCGATCCGTCCCACGCAATCATCCTAATTGCGCAACCAACCAGCCCTCTACACGAGATAACTATTATGCTTTTATTAAGATCACTAACCAGCAAAGGGAGAAGTAATTATATTACGTCATGAATTTATTGCGAGACCGGTTGTTTAATGGACAATTTCGGTATGTTATCTTCAACTTATTATTTTGCGCATTTTATACATATTTATTCAAAACATACATACATAAGAGTATAATTGTTTGATAATACCTACACCAGTACAAAAGTCTTAAATAAGACATTAAATCAGCGAGGATCGTCCAGAGTTCACTTTCATGTCTTCAATCTTTTTATCATGAAAAAATTAAAAATAAGAAGCAATTTGGACATTAAGGAAAGTAAGTTAAAAATAATTTATACTCGCGACTAATGTCAACAATAATAGGACTCTACCAGCGCCAAATTTGATAAAAGTCAATTGCAGTTCGTTAGCCTCGTTAAAACTAAAAAAAATATATAAACCTATATTAGAGCTAAAACAACCATTTGTATAGAAGAGAACAAAACCACATGTATGTTCATATATATATATATATATATATATATATATATATATATATATATATATATATATATAGTCTCTATATTGGATAGAATTCTCAAACCCCGGCTGATTTAGTTGGAAGTGCAAACACAATACAAATCAACCTCGGGCCTATTTTGTAGATGTACATATGTATTCTAACAACGAACAATGCAAGTTATAAATAATTTACTAGGTGTCTGCAAAAAGGCGTCTTATTCGTTGTCATGCAGGGTAATATACATAGGTGGGTTAAGTATCTATTGATCTTTTGACTGAACTTGAAACTTGAAAGGATTGTTTAATTGAATTAATATGCAATAATTGAGTAAAAATAATTTTGAAAAACTGTATAATATAATAGCAAACTTTTGACCAACTAAACGTAAATAACTAAGTCGGTGCCACCCGACAATATTTTAAAATATGAATATTTAATAGGTAAATAATAAATATGTATTTTACGTATCGAAATACATATATTAGATTTGCTTTGCGTCGGCTGGCATCGACTTCGAAAATATCTGATTAGGTATCTATTCTAAATGAAAACCCCTTTTTAGTTATTATTCAGATTTTAGTGCCTGGAAGTCGGTTATTAATATTTTTTCAAGTTTTTATTTTTCAATTTTTAGAGTAGACGTAATAAGCAGGTAAGAAATTTGTAAGAAGAAAGTTTTTTAATACAATATTCTATTAAACAAATATTTATTGTTGATTTTTTTAAAAATCGCTCTACCGATTTCGATAAAAATATGGGACCACCTGAGAAGTAGGTATAGTAAATAAAAATAAAATGTTGCAAAAATGAATGTGACGTGACGTACATTTAATTATTCAGTTTCTGTTATGTTGTCGTAAGTTAAGTTACATCAAATCTTCATATTTCTGTGGCATGACGTGAGCTTATTAAGCTCATAGACATAGATAAATATACGTTTCTTTATATTTATAAAGTGAAATAAGAAAAAAAAAATAACAATTATATTTTACAAAATAGAATTGTAGAGGACATACAATAAACTTTTTAAGCTAATGCTCTATAATTTTTGGTACTTAGAGTTAGATGGCTAAAAGACTAAACATTTAGTAAGAAAGTACTAAAACATTAATAATACATATGTATTATGTACGAGTGCGTTAAAATAATTTTGTAGTTCAGGATACAATCTTTTTTAAGAGACTGATATTACAACATAAGTTTATAAAATTTTTATAACCTGCATTATTAAATTTTCAATAAAGTAACTACCTAACTTTATACATAAATGTCTATAGCAGGCTGTAGCAGCTAAAGCAATGTTCTTTAGTCCGTTGTGACGCCAACACAGGCCACGGATTTGTACTAGCGCGGCACATTTTAGAACTTGTATACACTTGGCGTTTTAAAGTTTGTGTTTTTATTGGTTTGAGCGTTACATGTATTTTTATTATTTTATTCATTGTTTACATTGTCACAACAAAGTAAAAATCTAAATATGATTGGAAACGATTTACTTCATTTTCGCTATTAATTTGTATGATTAAAAAATACTGGTAAATATATAATATACGGTCAATAAAGTTCGTTTCCCACTAATAAATGTTAAAAGTTTTGTAGAAAAAACTTATACAAAAATTTTATTTTAATTTCCGTATTTGAATAGATTTTTTCTTTTCTATTTTTAATTGCCACTACAATGTCATACCACTGGGTGGTATAACGGGTGGACCTAGCAAGTTGAAATTTATACCAGATACTGAGGTCTATAGTCCCTATTAGATACCAAAATTTATCTTAATTTCCATTTTTTTTTATTTTTTGGAATTTTCCCTTTACTTGTGCTGTAAAACCTTGCTATTAACCAAAATTGACAATTCTAAATAAACCGGAAGTAACCTACGGGTTTTGGGTCGAATATGGTAGTTCCCGTTGACCTAGAATCACGAAATTTGATAAAAAGGTATTACAGCACAAATAAAGGAAACCTTCCGAAAAATAAAAAATAATGAAAATTAAAGTTGGACATTTTTCCTACAAACTTGTACGAAACCCTTGATGGGCTAATCCGACTCGCACTTGTGCGTATTTTTTTTGAAGGCGATCTTTTGTTTCCCAAGGCCTTCTATAAGATGATTTATTGTATAATAGCTTTTAGCACACAAACGTTTTTTAACAATTTTTTTGAATTTGGCGATAGTAGCCTTTTGAACATTTTCTGGGATCCTGTTGTACAAGCGTATACTTTGTCCATAAAAAGAATTACTGGCTCTGTGTAGACGAGTCACAGGCATTACAAGTTTGTGTTTGCTCCTAGTATAAATGTTATGCATGTCACTCTTCTTTGGAAATTCGTGTATATTTTTACGGACATACATAACATTTTCGTACACGTACTGAGAAGCAACAGTCAATATTTTTATTTCTTTAAACTTATCTGTTAATGAAACTCTAGCACCTAAACTATATATTGCACGAATAGCTCTTTTCTGCAGAACAAAAATCTTATTAATAGCAGCTGCCCATAGTAAGATACCATAGGACATAATACTATGAAAATGACTAAAATACTATACGAGCTGAATCTACATCAGTAAGAAGTCTTATTGTTTTACCGCAAATGCTGCAGAGCTGAGTCTACTCACCGAATGTACGATAATACCTAGGAATTTTGGACTTCTTTTATCAAAAAAAAACAAGCTTTTATTTAAAAAATAACTCTAAAAAACACTAAGAAGTATAACTTCTTAGGTGCGTACATAAGTACACACATTTTTTTATTACAAAGAGAAACTAGTGACCTGGGCACAGCTTGACTAATTTTATATAACAAAATATTATTGAGATTCTATTTTCGAATTGAGTCGACTTTCAAAGAATATAAAGTTAGGAGCTTTATCTCAACAAAAGAACCTACTATATTTGTAAAATTCGAAAAACGCCGCGCTTGGTTAACGCGCAGTGTGCGTCCGTTACTATATACTTATATAGTACGAACGCCACTTTATATGAACAGCTGCCATTGCTATCCCTCTCTGTCACGCTACAAAAGTTGTGTTGAGAGACTTGCGTGGCGGGTTGGCTTTTTTCGGTTAGTATCACGTTTGAATTACGCTTGGAACGGACGTCGTGCTAGTCACACTCGGTTAAAGTTTACTCTCTTGGATTGGTTGATGAGACAAAAATGTTTATCAAAGTGTATTTTGAACTGAGTTTGTGATTGCCCTCGTATAGGCCGCAAGTGTGTTAAAGTTTGTGAAGTGAAGAAATCATATGGAATGTTTGAGTGAAATGTAATTGTTAAGTCGTAGTTAAGTTTTTACAAAATGCAATCTTGGAGGATTTATTAAACAATGATATAAATTGATTAGAAAGTTTCTGCAGTACCAACCATGGGGAGCAACCGGTTGATTTCACGATTGGTGCTGATTTGTACAGGTAAGCAAACTGAGTTGTCTTACTTTCTGAATCACCTCGCGCGCCAGTCGCCACGGCTACTCAGCAACTAGTCACGGAAACGTGTTATACTTCTATGTGTGCGTAAACATAGTTGTATTATTTCTTAGGTCTTTGTATAGGCAGAGAGATTAGTGACTTTTTATCCCGCTCTCCGCTTTTCTGCCAATGTCATAATCTCTTGCAGAAGTTGTTTCGTAAAATTCGTTCTACGTTGTATAGACGTCTTAATCTATACATATAATAAAATTGTAACTAAGCCGAATCTGTACATTATTATCGATACAGAGGCCGAATCTATAGTTTTTAGAATTTTTATCTGTCTGTCTGTCTGTCTGTTACCGCATTACAGAAAACCATCGAAGGGGTTTTGATGAAATTTGGTATGATGATAGCTGGTTATCCGAGTCAACATATAGGGCACTAGTTTCGCGGAAAAATGTCTCATTTCTGAGAAAAAATACATAAATACAAAAATCACGATTGTAGTAAGTAAATTATTAAGATAGAGAGTATGTATATACTTATCCATTAATACTCGTACGGTATATATGTTATATATTTTCTAGTACATAATTTAATGGATATTAATAGGGACGAGAATAGAGAGAGGAGACTCTCGGTGTCTCGTGTAACATGTTTTCTTTCTTTTTTAATTTCAACGTTCTTAAAAAGCGCCATCTGTTGATAAGTTTAGTAATATAGTTTTGTTTAATTAAACAACATTATTGTTCATCTACATACATATATCCCACAAGATGTCTTACCAATAATAAAGTATCGTATGTAGTCCAAGATAAGGAATATGTGTGCTAAGTGTCATTAAAAACAACTATGGAAAAGTACCTATTACCAACGGAACCTATTACTGAGCCTCCGCTGTCCATTCGTCCGTCTGTCAGAGAACTGTATCTCATGAATCGTAATAGGTAGAGTTGAAATTTTCACAGAGTGTGCATTTCTATTACCGCTATAACAACAAATAATAAATAAATACATTACCCTCCTTTGCGTCGCGCAATTGGTTAAAGACCAAGATTAGATGGCGAATTTCAAAAAGGTTGCCATGCAAATTAAAATTAAGTCGATTTTGGTACGGAACCTTTCTTGTGCGAGTCCTACTCGTACTTGACCGATTTTCTTATATTGAGACAAAACTTTCCTCAATAATAGGTATATAATCCGCTAAGTTAGAGCGTTATTCATCATGATAGTATGTCTAGGTATCCCCCCCAACGTGCGTTCACCTTGTCGTGGTGGGGGGGCTCAGTAGTGCCCGGCAATACAGCCGGGTGCGAACCCAAGAAACGCACAGGGAGATGGCCCGCTTCGGTGGGCGGTGGGAGGCGGCTATCTTCGGAGGGCGGCGTACCATGAGGGTTGCTCCTGGTACTTCTCTGATAGCAGAGTGGACCTTGGAGCAACCCCGTGGTTGTTGTGGTCTGCTTCGGCAGACCTGCCGTCGGGGCGTCGTAGTTGAATGCGTAAGCGATCCTGCGACGCCCCATTAAGACGGGGGAAGGTTTTGTTGGGTTTTAGTGTGTAGTACTGGCTTCGCCGGTGAGTCCCACACTTCGTGCGTAAATGCATTTCCCAACGTAAAAAAAAATGTCTAGGTATATAAGAAGTTTTAAAAATTTAAATTAAGTTTATTTCTATTATGCAAAAATAATTTAAGCTAAAAAGTTATTATTTCTAAAACCTACGTACATACTATTGAATTCTAGTTATCAAAAACCCTAAATTACTTGTCCGTTCAATTATTAATTTACGTTTAATTAGTTCTCTGAAAATCGACTGTAACATAATATGTACTTGTATACCTATTTAATTAAATTTCGTTATTAGGTGTAATTAATTACCTCTAATAACGCAATTTAATGAATGACGAAAATACTTAAGATAATAAGTAAAATAAAATTTATAATTTTTATACTATATTAACAGTACCCCGCGGCTTCGCCCGCATTCAATTCGCCCAATCGCTATCAGACTTCACGGGATCACATGCCAGATTTCATCAAAATTGCTCATACACACACATACACACACACATCTTTTTTTATATTTATAGATGAGCCAAAATAATGTATCTCTTAGATTGTATAAGAAGAATATATTATAGGGGCTATACTTACCAAATGGATCTAGAATAGAGACGAAGTCTATGTCTGTCTTAGGATTTTTTAAATCGTATAATATGAGAGCTACTCACCCTTACATCGCTCGGATTCCTCCCGAGGTAGGTACGTTTTAACGGTTAGTATGGGATAAACTATATAATATATATGCGTTAGTATGATGAGTTGTTGTGGGTTGTACTATAACTAGTTAGTAGTTAGTTTTACATTCGGTTTAACCTAATTTCGCTTAGACCTACAACTATTGAAGAGAACATTTTTTGATAGGCCGTCACAGTAAGCTGAAAATTAAAAAAAAAAACTTTATTTTCAACGCCTTTCATCCCCCCATTTCTCGAGGGTAGCTGGACATCGGGGGCATTTTACGGATTTTTATTCCTTATATACCTGCTAACCTTTTAGAGACGTTTAGGTTTTAATTTTTTTAACTATTAAAAATAAACAGATTCCGATCGCTCTAAATGGTCATTTATTTTAGTTAGGAACATGTAAACCTTTACATGTAAGCGATAAAAAATTAAATTTGTTCTTCTTAATTCAACAGTCAAGAATCTTTGCCTAATTAAATAGACCAAATGAAATAAACATAGTATTCTTCCAACATCTTAATTACAGTTCGTAAATTGCTCGAGAAAGCGCGGTGAAATTGAACCGAAGTTCGGTCGAATTTTTTATTCACACCGAATGATCGCCCGAAGTTCGTGTTCGATTTAATCCGCATTCGGCCCATCACTAATTATAACGTGTTTTCCCGTGAGAATGAGATAATTTCCCGCGGTAAAAAGTAGCCTATGTCACTCTCTAGCCCTTTAACTATATCCACACAAAATATGACGCCATTCCGTCACTCTGTTTCGACATGAAAGAAGGACAAACAAACACACTTTCACTTACGGCCTAAAAAGTTTGATTTTTTTTTACTAACAATAAAGGAAAAAGAATAAAATTAAAAAGGGATCCTTCCTCAAACCCAAGATGATTTTCAAGTTTCTTTTTATTTTTGATGTCGAGAGAAAGTACTAGTATGACATATATTGTACAAACAAACGTTGACCTTGAATAGATTATAATATAAACCCTAAAAACAACCAATAATAAAAACTAGCAACTACAGATTCGCTCTAAAGATTTTAACCGCCCGCAAACGGCTAGAAGGGACTCAAAAGGAACTTCCTTTCTTATTAAAATTCATGTACGTAAGTCGTAACGCTGTTTTAACGGAATTGCCTTAATACTTCTATTCTGTATTCCGTTATTCGCGCACCATTGCTTTTCAAGAAAACAACTATTTTTAAACCTGTGCTTTCCTACTTAGGTACTAGGTAATAGGTTGGTAGAATTTTTGCTGTCCACCATTTTTTTAATGATTGATGAATAAACTATTACAAAGACAAAAATGAATCTATCCGTCTATATATCGAAAAAAATATGAAGGCTGTTCTATCCAAACGATTTGTTTTTTGTTTTAAATTAAAAGTATTGATGTACAGATTGTTCATCAAGCATTTTGACTGCCTCGGTGGTGTAGTGGCTAGCATGTACGGCTGCACACCCGGAGGTCCTGGGTTCGAGTCCCGGGTCGGGCCAAGTTTAGTTATTGAGACTTTCTGTATAGTAAGTCTCAGTAACAGCCCGGAGTTGGGAAGTTGGCGGTGTTTCACCCCCGTGCCTCGGAGAGCACGTAAAGCCGTCGGTCCTGCGCCTTAACTCTCACCGGTCGTGTCGAGTGGTCGTCCCACCGGAGTATGAGAGTGATAGGAATAGAGAGTGCACTTGTGTCTGCGCGTACACTTGAGCACTATAATATCTCCTGCGCAGTTGGCTAATCTCAATGAGATTGGCCGCCGTAGCCGGAATCGGCTAGGAGAACATCACTCATCAAGCATTGGAAATTACCTAACTTTCACTCTACTCATACACGATTTCCTCCTATATATTTCTTATGTTAGTCAAAGCTATGAAGCTGTCTTTCGTTTTGGTCTAAGAACACTCGCTGGAACGAGCTCTTTCATTTGAACTTTTGCCCACTTATTTGGTTAAGTTGGAGGGAAGCTAGGTGTGAACATTCAACTTGACTCATCTTAACAGAGCGTTTTCTTAATTATATTATTAACACATCTTCGTCCGCACAAATGTTACCTATTTTAAATAAATGTAAGCAAAACGGGGAGCTCAATCTTTCTTGGGATATTCTCCCCTCAATAAAACAAAACATAGCTATTTTTCTAATTCAGGCTATTAATTACGAAGTAACTATTAAGTAATCTTTGCTGCTCAACCACGGTAATATACATTACTGTGTCTCAACTCATCTGTCTAACAATGATAATCCTATTAACAACTGTTCAGCGGCGTCCTGAATCCCGACCGATTTGGGTTTAATACTCGAGTATATCTGCAGTTTTTAGAATTATACTAGCGGCTCACCCTCGCTTCGCTCGGGTTCACCTCTAGGAAAGCACAAACAGATCTATCCCACGGGAACCGTTATTGTTCTGGGATAAAAAGTAACCTGTTGTTTGATCGGCAATATAAGGAGGCATCAGCATGCCAAATTTTAATAAATTAGGTACATAAGTTGTTGTGTACTAAGTTGTATAAGTTACTATAGTTTTTTAACTATCCCACGGGAACTCTTTAATTTTCCGGGATGAAAAGTATCTAAGATGTTGTCCGGGCATATAAGGTACCAAAATGCAAAATTTCATCTAAATCGATCCAAAAGATTCGGAGATTAGCCCGTACAACCAGACAAACAGATAGAGAAACAAAAAAATAGAAAAAAATCTAAAATTTTTCTATTTGTCTTCTTACATCCCCCTGACTTGGTTTTTAGCATTT